CCGTCGAAAATAAACTCACGATGGTTCTTCCTTCCTTACACAAATATTTTATTTACTTTTGTCCGAGACTGTATCCCTCAGACAAAGGTGGTAAAACATAAAATCTTAAAAATATATTTGTTCATAAAATATTCGCTGTCTTATTTTAACGATTTGGGGAAGCTGAAATCAATTTCATTGATATTTAAGAATTCAGCCCGTACTTCAAAGAGAACACACTCTTCGCCATTAAAAAGATGAATTTGATTATGATGTTTAAGGGCGTATGAGGCAGGGTGGTAAAAATAATATTTGTATCTAAGAGGGTAACGTTACAGAACGCTGAATAAAATTTAAAAATAAGGAGATCCATAATTTATGTTCCTCATTAATTAAGTTAAGAAATCAAAGACTGGGCATGTAGCCCAGACTTAAACATCAAAAATGCGCCGGTTCGGGTTGGAAAACCTGAATAGATTAGATTACTCAAAAGATTTATGTCGGTAGGAAGATAATATTAAAGTATGTATTAAAGAAATGTGTGGGAGATTGTCGACTGGATTTATTTAGCTCGTGATAGGGAGCTGTTCCAGGCACTTATTAAAATGTATCGAACTTTCCAGATCCATGAAAATAAATTTCCTAAACGACGGTCACATTCTAAAGGGCTCTCATAACGAGTAGGTTAGTTACTCATAAACAGTTACTGAACAAAGGGATTTTAATTTGGGGCATTAATCAGACTGTATTTAACTTCGAGAAAATGTTGCATGTTGTGCGGTGGCTAATTAGTAATATCAGTAATTTAGTCGTTGTCTGTGAAATGCCTAGAAGATTGGTTAGGCACGTAGTCACACACACAATTTATTTACCTTTTATTGATTTTTAGTTTGACAATTGCAGGAAACAGAAAACTTATTTATTTAAGTAACTTGTGAATTTACACTGTGCAACTTGGTGTACAGTTCTGTTGAACTTAATTTTGAAGACCATAAATTATAATACAATATTTAAACCTCAATATGGAGCAGTACACTGGACTCACTATAATTAGAATCATAGCTGACGTCACAGTATGAGATCCACTGTCTAAGGTTACATACTTATAATCTGAGCTAAAAACATGACTCGCTTATCTATAGGTGTTAATTCCTTTTCTGCAATTCGAAGACCCCCAAGCAGTTAAATTCACCATCACCGTCAGAACTATAAAAATAAGCATTCTTCCTGTAGGCCACTAACACATTCACCACTTAAAATACTTGCTATGCGGCGAACTGAATGTTTTCTGCAGCAATAGTATCGAGGCACAGAACAATGCGAATACTCAGTATTATTCCGCCATTATTCTCGCGAGGTTTTGTAACCATTGTAACTATAGTGAGCCCAATGAACCACAATTTACAAGCCCTTGTCCCTTCATGATGTAACTTCGTGGTTCAATACTACGTAGTCAAGTTGGTGTTCATAAATCCCGCTGAGAGGAATCCTTCCTGATAGCGCTACAGTCGCTTACTGGTCAGGAAGTTTCATAAATCGAACTCCAAGGTTCATTCCTAGGATCATAAAAGTCCACTATTGATTACTATCGGAGCTGTAACTCGTTTCATAATGATAAATCTTTTGGTGTGTCCAGTCTTGTAAAAGGGAAAGAATTCTGTGTGTTTAAGCGCGCGAAGCAGCACAAAGGAAGGAAGGACAGTGGAAGGCAACTGACATAAAAATGGGTCATTTTTTACAACTCGCTTCCCTTTTCTGTTTTCTTTGTTCCTGGAACAACATAGAACTTTGAAGGGAATACAGGAAGAAGAGTTTCTTTTCCGACGACAAATCCTAAATGCAACATTTTCATCGTACGTCCATAATCCTATATACACAGAGAAAACATTTTCCTTCTCGTAACTACATGGCAGTTGATTCGTTTCTGTTAACACGTCTCACAGCTGAACATTTCTGAGCTTTTGAGTATATCCATTCAGCGTCGAATCAATACCTCCCTTATCTCTGACAAAAGCGATTTCCTGAATCAGAAATCACTTAAATCTATCGAATTTTCATTTTTTTTTTTTACTTGTACTATTATAGTTTCTTTATCGATGCGAATGCCTTTTTCCAATACCTTTTTATCATAAACTTCGAATCGTTTTTCATAATCCTCCGTGTAGTGTCCTAATGGAATTGCCCTGTTCGGCTGTCTCAAGCATGGGATGATGTAATGTTATTTTACCAGCTTCAGCACTTAGCGGAAAGACTCAGTTTCCACCCCCTGTGATGAGATGGCGATGCAGACTCGTTATTGTTTGTCCTGATGTAGTTCTTATGTTCACTCCACTCTGCAGCCATTAAACATTGCGCCCTATTAAATACCTACAGTAATCATGTATAAAGTTTATTCATACAGAATGTACTTAGAGCTCAGGTTGATGTATCATTATGCCTATTTCCAAGAGGGGTTCAAAACGGAAATACGATGCTCAGGTATTTGAAACGAGAAGTTGCTGAAATAACCAAGTGACACTTACACCTGTTCATACGTCTTCATCCATATGGTGATACTACCTGAAATTATAACACCTGTTCATACGTCTTCATCTATATGGTGATACTACCTGAAATTATAACTTGAAGTATGGTGGTTAATCGTGTTCGTAACTTTGTAAGTTTAAATTGAGTAGTTGGTAGACCATACATCTAATTTATGGTTTCAACACTTTGTGATGTACGGCTTTCTTTAATACCGGATTTCATTTTGGTACCATAAATTAACATGAGAATATTCATGACGAAGTGTGTCCTTTATGCATAAATTATAACTGTTTCCATCGTATACAGTGCGTATTTGGTTACAATGTAATTTTACATTCACGCACACATAAATATATGCATATACAGTTATTTTATACACACGCAATATTAAATGTATACGTCGAAATAAAATAGTTAAAAGTGTTTGCAATTATTGTATAAATAATTTGTAAATATTCATCATGTCAAAACAATTAACTACTTCATGCCATGTATAAATAATTTGTAAATATGCATTATGTCAAAACAATTAACTACTTCATGCCATGCGCTATATATAGCTTATAATTTTAAATTACATTTTTCACCAAACATAAGTAGGGTGATTACGTCATTAAATATTAAGGATGAGACGCATGATGTTATCCGATAAATGATGTCGAGTTTCGGATGCAAACTGAAATCATTATTGAACTTAATTGATCGTCATATTATAATGCTCATAATTTATATGATACAATACTTGATGCACTTCAACACAATGTTATGGAACTCTGAATCATGCCATTACTTGGAGATTTGCATTTTCCGGCGATGTGTCTGGTCGATTATATTTATTGTTAGATACGGAAATTGTACTGTACCATAAATAATGGTGCAGTGCGAACGAGGCTTAGCACGAACTGACCCTTAAGTTATTACAGTACATCCTCGATATTATCGACATGCATACGGGCAAGAACGTTTTTGTGAGCTGAATTTAGTAGCTTGCTGTCATCGACCCGTTTTCTAAGAATCGCGTTGACCGCGGTCTGTGGACTATTATTCGTCGAGGTTAAAATCTAATCACTTCAGAAACGCCAGCACAGCATAAGAGATGTGTCACTTCCATGCTCTGGGACCTCTATCACACAAAACCCGATTGAACAGGCGGTGTATGCAACCTGCCTTGATTGAATTTGTTATGGCAGGACTCGTAGAAAGCCTCAGACGGCTGGAAACTTTATTACAAGTCCAATTTTGTGTTTATTGATTGAACTGCATGTCTCTTAACACGAACTCTGGATCTCCAATGCAATTTCTAGTGGACTTTATCATACAAAAATAAGAATAACCAGTGTTGGTTCAGATATTTACTTAAAATATAAAATTATGAATACAAACAAACCTGTTTACACTTTAAAAAACACTTTGTGTGTGGATATTCAACACTTCACGGTATACAACGTTTTAATATTATTTATTCATTACTTTTTTATCAATTCTGTCAGTAGGTGAGACCAAATAGCGTCGAATTATAATATGGTCTGTCTGCTCCTAATATAATAGCCAGCTTGACTCTGCGGGGTCTAAAGAAATTTGACGATTTGTTTAACCTAGGCGTATTTAGGAAGATAAGATTAAGGTGGATATTAATTTAATTGATTTGACAAAGCAAAAGCTTCAATGCTGGCAATAAATCTTCCAAAGTATAAAACTACTCCGCATAAATAAACAAATGTCAGAAATTGCTTCAAAGTGTGTGCGCTTGGATTATCACCAAACAAATCGTTTATACGTTTTCTGTTCTTTTAATAAACGTATCTCTTAATGAAGAAAAATTTCGTGATCCGTGAAAAAGGCTGTTTATTGTGATATACTGGATTATGTTTTAGATAAGGTGAATTAATGTAATTATGATAGCCACGACAAAATTGCTTGCTTCAGGATCACAACAAAGTCTTACAATGTTGCCTCGCAAACAACTGAGCTCAATCGAGTGAAGACAGTCTATAACTCGCAGCGTAGCAAAGTTAGCAACGCTGTCCGCGTGGTATAAAGCCGCGTGATAAGGAGTGAAGTCCTTCCGTGGTGTTCAAGTATGCCATTTGATAACAACCAGTATTGGGAGCTCAACGTGTTATCTGTTTTCCAAATACATCAGCCCTGTCATGTAATCACTGGTAAAGTAAAGTAAAGTTTGTCCCACTATACGCCATGTAGGCGTTTGGGGGGAGTGGAGGTATAGCTCCTCTCTTCCTTGACCTCGGCGCTAGATGGGGGGGAGTGGTCAGCATCACGCCCCGGCCGGCTTTACCCCCGGGAAAGGACCCCGGTACCCATTGTAGAGGAGGCTGGGTGGGCCCCAGAGCCAATCTGGACGCAGAGGCTAGAGGAAAAATCCTCTGCCCCCGTCGGGGATCGAACCCCGGTCGTCCAGCCCGTAGCTAGTCACTATACTGACTGAGCTATCCCGGCTCATATGTAATCACTGGTGATTGTCAGAATATACTTACGACTCCGTTGCCAAACTTCCTGACCCCGCAAGGCAGAGTGGTGGTGCTGGCAGTCTGTGCGATGACCACAGTGGAGTTCTCGGTGGTGAAGACGGACGAAGATCCGGTGTTTTGGACCAGGTTTTTCGCCTCAGCCGCTCGATGTCTCGAGCTCCTGTGACTCTCGTAACTGCGTTCCTCCCGCAAGAGAGCTCTAGAGTCTGCAACGCAAGATGGACGACAAATCCCGTGTCAGATTTACAGTAATAATCTTCTATCCAATCAAAATGCATATCGAGTTAAGGTATCGTATCATATTGCGGTGGATCTGGATAAATCCCCTCGGGAACGAGTGTAATAATACATAAGTCAACGTTCCTGTATTGTAATCCAGACGCCATTTTTTCTAATATTAACCCGAAACAGATTACGTGTCATATATTTGTTGACTGTCTCGGTTTCAGTAGATATATTTTATATCGAAACCAATAATAGGTTGTTTCTCTCCCTATGCCCTCCTCATGAACTTAGTTTGTATTCGAGAGGACTTAGTTTCAGAACACTTGGACACTCAAGACATGTAATCAGTCACGACTACTCTCCTTCCGTGGATTTCCTCCGTCCGTCCATATAAGTTGTGTGATTTAAGCGTATTATGGCCATACCATCTTAACTTTATGACCGTTCTAATTCATAATCACTTAAATGTTCGTGATATTACGTAAATTTTAATTCGCAATTTAAGGTATGACTCATTAATTACCTGTATAAACTAAGCAGTTGGTAAGAAATAGTAAAACATATAAAATGAAACTATATTATCAGAATGCATGTTTATTTTCCGATCGTACTGTCATTGAACTGCTAATGTTTATCTTAATTAACTAGGCCTGGTATGAATGAAGCCCTTAATCACATATTTATGGAAAAATAATGATAAATTTTACCCGAGTTCATTGATTTTGTGTTACGGAGTGGGCTTGATACAGAGAGCTCATAATGCATTTACAGACAAGTAATAAATAATCTTTTTACTTCGACATACTTACTATGAGTTCGTGGTAAGTATAGTGTATAATATACATTTCATCGTTGCTAGGTGAGCATATTTAAAATCTCTATTTTCAGATATTGTAAACTTAAACATCCCTGTTGAAGAATTCCAAACTCGTGTAAGGAACAAGATAACATGTTACAATATAAATGATTAATGTTTGATATTTTCATGTAATTCTCAACGGGAAATGTTATAGTATTTAAATATAAAGGTCTACAGAAATCATAAGAGTATTACGTCAGAGGTATTTTACGTTTTGAGCATTTGACGACAGACAGCCAGAAGATGAAAATACGTCTTACTACGGAATCGTAGTTTGTCAGTTATACTTCAAACGGCGAATGGCGTGCTAGTATAATGAAGATGTTTACCATCGACTTTTACCCATATTTTGTTATTCGGTTACTTCCTGCCAGCTTGAATGCAAGTTCAATTAAAAGAGTGTCCCTTATATTTATTTTTTAACTCCATTGACACATTTTTTTATCTTAATTTAGAAATTAGATTTCCACATGAAATGCAGTTTTATTTCAACAACTTTAAAATAAATTACATACTCTTTAAAATTTATAGCTGAGGTAATAAACCCGACGGAAACAGAGTCCTGTAATATAAATTATTTTTCCTTGTTAATAAAGGTGGACTATTTCCTGAAGAGCTACATTCAGTCTGTAGAGACGGTACAGTTATATACAGAGGCTCTTTTGTCTAGAGCCATATATTATCGATGATAATTACTCCGCTACTATATTTAGTATCCGTAAAGGACTGACGTTCAGTTCGACGTCGTATAAGTTAATCCATCTAGCAGAGTAGCGACTCTGTCTCTGTCAATATCACGTTTGAAAATGTAGAAAATTTCAAGCTCATAAAAACGTCAGGACGATCTCTTATAAATAAAACGATCAATTGATAATCCAAACCACACCATGGTTGTCGGTTACCTATGAACATACCTTTGTGTTAGGGTGTTTAAATTATAGATGTCTGACTTTATATGAATTACAAACACAAGTATAGGTTTAAGGTAAAAATTATAGTCTCTGTATATTAGTGTTAAAAATAAATTTATTATCTTCTTCACAAATTAATAAATTTACAGGAACATATAATTTTATTTTTCTTCGATGTAGGACACTTCTTGACTATTATTTAACTCGCAGAATACAATTTTTACCCTCTCACCTCCTCAAAGTCTTAGTAAATTGTAGGTCTCCTAAGTTTTAGGGTATTTCCAGCAAAAATCCAAATTTGCCACAGATTTTTTGTCTACGACTCCAGTAAACGCTCACGTGTGGTCGTCGGTTTATAATTAATTAAAATGAGTACGTTTCTCATCTTTAATATTTGGAATCAACGTAACAAATACTCATGGTTTTCTAAATGGCTAGAAATAGCGCAAACTGTAATTTGCAAGGGTCCACAAATTATGACTGGCGTTGTCTCGTGAACAAAATACTTTATTTCATTCGTACATGTACGTGATAACCATTCACGTTTTGGTCGAAAACGTGTCAGCGTGTATGACCTACATTCTGTGTCTTTCCACTGAAGCTGGTTGGCTGCTTTTATTTCGATTTTTAGATAACGCAGTGCTCATGAACATTCAGTGTGATCGTGTTCCTGTGAAGAAGGAAAAAAAAAAGCAGGGAGACGAAGTTCTGAAAGGTTAAATGTTGGCGTGACGTTGCCATCTGCAGGTTCGTGTTCCTGGATCAGTCTGAACGAGTTGACAAAAATCTGTCATTAATAAATGGATACATTATCAAAATAAAAGCTAAAAATTCTTTCTAAAATCTTCTTCCCAAACAGACGCTTTAACGTCAGCAGCGTAAGATTTTTAACCTATTCTAGCCTCCACGAATATTATTTAAGCATCGTCTGATATCTTAGCCATTTTTTATTATCGAACTGAAATGAACATAATTTCTTTATTTGCTAAAGTGAAGCTTGCGTTTTGAAAATATTAGGTTGCCCATTCTGTTAAAGGATCAGCCACTCATGTTTTTAGTTGTCTATACCGTAATTTAAGTAATAAATATCTTGTTCCTTATATGTAGAATCTTAGTATGAGACCAAAGGACGGTCGGATAATCGAAAATATGGGATAATGCTGAAGTGTAATGATGAAAACGAGAGTAAATATCAACTCACTTTACTATGTTCTTAAATTAGGAAGAAATTCAAGATTGCATCAAATAAAAAATTCGCGAACAAAATTTACATTCAACATAATGTTAATTTGTATGTGAAAGATCATTTCTTAAGAAAATTTTAATGGGATTCTGTGGCTCCTTTCTGTACAGCAAGGTCACGGTAGCACCTGAACCTACAAACGCATCAGATAACGGCGACATTCCCAAACATGTGGTGATTATAAAATTTCGCGTGTTGTGGTTACTCATTTATGACATAATGCGGTGGTTGTTTTTAAGGTGCAATATCGTTCGTCACTCTCTGCAGCTTATTTGTACTATGCAATTTTCAAGTCCTTATTGTTTTTAATAGCGCCTCTTTCTCAGTGATCAGAGGATTTGCAATAGTGATGTTTTCCTATTTCTAACATTGCCGTGTCTCTTTCGTTTCCTACTCACATACAAAGGTTGAATTATTCAGAGACCGAGAGAGATTCCCAAGCATTCTGACTTTCATGTTTGCGTAATAACATGACAAACAGGGCGTCATGTCGAATGAATAATGAACAAGTCAACTTTACGTCTGAACCAAAATGATGCGCTCAGTTTTGTTAACGATGCTGTTAGTATTTATGCCATTCTCATTACCTATGTACGAAGTGTAATTAAAGTGAAGAACTTTAAACTTAAAGAGCAGAATAGTTATTAGTACTTTGTGACAATATATCATGAGCAGTGTTTCGTTAGTCGCATAGCTTGCGTATGTTTCAAGCTGTTAATTAAATATGGTTTTCAGAACATGTTAATTACTTAAGAGCAAACTAACAAATATAAGTACAGCACAAGATATTAAAGTAAACATTAAAGTCCTTTTTATTCTTCAACGAATCTTGATCAGGGAGGCTCGACTTCCGATTCATTTTCCAGAGTGTATGTAATGTAGCCAAGTATTATCTGTGACAAGATGTAGCATTCGAGAGGTCATGTTTTCGACTACCAGCGGGGATACACTATCAGGACCGATATTTCCGCAGTTTTCCACAGTCCCCCCTACGAATGATGGAATAATAACTTAAAACATTCCATGATCGTTTCCTCCAACACCAAATTCACCCAACATTGATAGTCATTCTGCAGTAACTAAGTCAACTTTATTATTTGATATAGCATAGTTAAATAACGGAATAAATAAACAAGCCGAATGTATGTTGCTGGAAATAGAGCCGCGCGTTATTGGAAATGGAACATGTGTCAATTTTTGTGCGGTATTGATTTACATTCTTTGAAACGTTACAGATGTGTGAAGTTGATAAACGTACAAACGAAATGTTACGCAAACACGCCACCAGGGAAGACATGAGCGAGTTTGCATTAAAATTTGTTCGCAGTAGCACATTCCAGCGGAAATAACTGTGTTAGTTACAAAAAAAATATATTATCTGAGGTGTGAGCCCAAGAATTCCTGTCGGATTACGAGCAAATTTTTTGGACTTTTCCATTTGTGAGAATACAACCGATTTTTGATATCGATGCAGTGTTCTGCTGTGAACAGGATATTTAGTACGAACCTAGCTTTATATTTTCAAGCTTAACATTTTATATTTCTTAACTGTATGTTGTGAGGGGGGGGGGAGGCTTAAGTTCAGTGTCGTAACAAATACTAGGCCAGTGCCTGTTAGGTATTTGAAAACCTCACATCTCATATTACCGAAAAAACATTTACTTACACCAATTTTTAAGTAAACGTTTGCTAATATTTCCAACATAATAGTTTGTTTGACCCCCCTTTAACTCAACGCATAGTTGGTTTCTGTTTTAGAAAGTATTCAGTAAGTTAAAGTTTTAATTGTATATTTTACATTTGGGGTTAGCATTGTTTTTCTGGGAGCATTAATTCAGAAAAAATATAGTACGTACGTGTTTTGTGACAATAAACTAACATAATCACGAATCCTCGTGATTAATTTTGAATTATTCTGTTGAAGAGTAGTATCAACTGTAGATTCAGTGAGTGATTTGCACTCTCCTT